AGGAAACTGAAATTGGAATAGAGGCAGAATTCTAGAGAAAAAGCAGATTATCAAGTTCTTACAATCAAATTGACAGCAAGCAAACTGAAATATGAGATACGTTTTCCCATTCTCCCATGCAGAAAATAAATGAGAATATCTTTGCAACCCACGACGCAACTTATTTCCACTCTCAATCAAAAGCTTTTCCTTAAAGTCTTTCTCTCTCTCTCTCTCTCTCTCTCTCTCTCTCTCTCTCTCTCACACACACACACACACACACACACACACACACACACACACAAAGTAGTTGTGAGAAAAGTTTATTCTGGAGGACAACTTGTCACCAGCTAGAGGCTGGACTGAACAGAGACACCTTGTTCAACATCAAAACACTGTCATGCATAGACTCCAATCTCAGACACAAGGAGCCCATGCACCACCTCTGGCATCTACACTCACTGATTCATGCCAGAAGTTCTTACTGGAACCGAAGTAACTGAGAGCAGTGGGGATTGTAACCAACTCTTCAGGCTCATCATGCTATAAAGAAGAGCTGAAAGAAAATTTGGTCAGTTTTATTTGACTCATATCCATCTAAGTTTCATTGCTCATTTCTGCTTAATGTCCCAAAGCACTACTCTAAGCCCACACTGAAATTACATTTCTGGATTAATAATAAGCACAGGAAAATAAATCACATCTGCCCTAGGAGTGAACTCAAAACCAAAAGCAGCCACAGAGAGGAATTTGTGAGTTGAGCTTAGAGTCAACTTGAATTCTGAAGGAAATGAACCTTTAAAAGGAAAATTCACACAACAACCTATGCAGACAAAACATTAATCTATTTTGCTCTAATTCTGGGGCCTTTTAAAACTTATTTCTCCTTACATGTATATCTGCCACAGCAGAACTTCTCTGATAAGATGGCAGCAGGCCAAATGCAGTATAATGAAGACATTTGTGCTCAGTGGGCATTAAACCCTTAGGTGTACTTTCATTTCCTAAAAGAACATCTAGTTATTCAGACTTATCTTTGTAGTAAGGTTCCTATGAAGGAGGAGTAAACCAGTTGTCCATACCCACCCCCAAGACATCAATTTATTTGTTCCATCTGAGCTCAGGCCAGTCCAGATAGTTAGTGGTCTTTGCCAGCATGAACAAACACTATTTAGACAGCCATAGTAGGTGAACTGAAACACAACACAGTTCTGGTTGTACTTGATGAGAAAGCTACAGCAAAACAAAGACAACATTTTCCTGCCTAATGAAAGGCAACTAATACCAGGCCTCCCCTGCATACAGCTAGCCATTCACCCCTCTACCACATGATGTTCTCATGAGGTAGCAGCAATGGTATACAGAAGAAACATCTTTGCATCTAAAGTGTGCTAACCAAAAGAAACATAAGGAAACAGACATAATTCTGAATTTTCCAATGGCCACTGAAGAAATCAAAAAGTATGTATAAAATTAATTTTAATATATTTCATTTAGGTCAGTGTTACCTAAAACAACCTTAGCATCTAATCAATACTTAACCGTTCTCAAGATATTGTATTTTTTTTCATATTAAGTCTTCAAAATCAGGTATTTCATAGTTACAGAGCATCACACTTAAGAAATTCAACAGCAAGATGTAACTACATTGTTTAGCATGACTGTTGGTTGCTGAATAAGAAAAAAAAAAAAATCAAAAAACATTCTATTGACCACTGATTCTCAAGAGACTTCAAGACAGTAAGACATCAGTTTCATATACAGTAAATAAAGCCTTCTGAAAACAAGAAATTTATTTGCCTCAAAAGTCAAACTATCATTAGAGCTGGGAAAAGTTCCACTCATCTGGAAGTCTAGAGCTTACCTAAAAGACCAAGCTTTTTAGATGTATGTATCCACTAAAATAAAACTATCTACTCATTAAAAATATAGCAAACTCCCACATTTCCATTTACTTAAAATTAATGCTTTTTTTCAGCCATATAATCTCATTTATTCTTTTTCAAATAGCTAGCAACTTCATTTCCTTTCCGACTAGCATAGTACAACCCCTCCTTTTCTATTTTGTCAAAAGCCAAACCAAACAGTTCATGCTTCAACTCTACAGCTGGAAATTGCAAAGAGAATTCTGAACAAAATGGAAACATGGCTCTTAGGTATAGTGAAAAAAATACTGAACTTAATATAAAACATTCACATTATGTGAACTTTTAACCTCAAAATAACCAGCTAAATTCCTAAATGGGGAAAAATAGAAAGAGTAAATCACCAAATCCAAGCATAATATCAATTAAACTTTCAACAGATTAGGAAAGTACTCAAAAATAAAAAAGAATCAATTTGATATAGAAAAAGACTACAGATTTGAGCACAGATTTGGAACTCAAGAAGCCTACATTCAAATACAAAACTAATCACACTATTTGTCTTGAGCAAATTACTTAACCACTTTGAATATGCATCAGCATCTATAGAATGGATATTTTAATAAATTCTACTCCTGATACAGTTATCGCAAACATTACACAAAATAAAACAGTGCAATTAAGCACAGTTTGGTAACTAATAAAAGTTATTTAATTCTTATACCCAGACCTATTCATGTCTATAATTTATATAAAACAGAAAGTACTAATCTCAACTCAGAACTCTATTTCCATAGAAATAGGAACCTTATCATACAAATGTCTATTTCTCACTTTAGAATGGGGGCAGAGTGTGATAGGAAACTGTTTTCATGGGTCTATAAAGAGTGCTGCAACACACCTCATCACCAATTCCACTACCCCATAACTCGGGTCCCTCCAGCACAGAAGCATCTGATAATATCATTATAAATGCAGGAAATGCTGCTCAGCAGAACACTTAGCTGAGCTCAGCAAAGGCTTCCTGGAGGAGGTAACTACCTGATCAGAGTCAGGTGGGAGAAAAACACTGAGGTAAACAGGGAGAGAAAAAGAGGAATCTAGAGAAAAGGAATGTGCGAATGGAGACATCGGATGTGAACGAGCAGCAGAAACACAGCTAAGAGCAGCTCTTACTGTTGGATGCAAGAGGAGACTACAGGAGAAAGAGCTGAGGCTGAAAGGGCTTCAGAACAGAGCAAGGATCTTGGATTTCATCTGTTGATGAGGGGAGGGGAGGGCAAAAACAAGTCTTGTCACTGGAAAGCAAAGAAAAAGGGGAAGGAAACTTGTGGTGGGAAACCAAAGACTGAGGGTCACTCTGAAGGATAGCCAGCAGATGGAAAGAAATAAAAACCACTACATGGAACTTAACCATTCACTGCCTCTGCCACCCTTTTGAGACATGAAATACACCAAGAAAAAAACATCTTACAAGGAGTTGGATAGAAAAGAGGTACATACTATCAATATCCTGGGGTATGAAATGTGAATAAAATATCATGTCACTGGGAAAGTTTTCCCCAAGATCTGACCTCCCTAATTAATATCAAAGCAGGAAACCAAATGTGGTATCAAAGAAAAATCAGCAATGAAATCAAATACCATTTAATCTTCACTGGCATCAGAAGTCTTAGTACCACACAGTCACTCTTCCCTATAGGGCAACAGGAGGTTAGAATAAAGTCAAGTTCCTGACAAGTATCTCAACCTATCTAATGCCTCTGGAAGTATCATTAAAAAGAGAAAAAAATTCAGATCTCCGAGTAACTATCTGCCACCAAAGTAACTTTACAGTTTTTTAAACTGGAAAAAAAAAATGGTCTCTGAAAAATCCTCCACAGAAATGGGAGAGAAAAATAAGAGAGACAGAAGAAGGGAGAGTGTGGTAGAAGGCATACAGAGTTAGGAGTAAAGTCCTAGGACCAGGACACCACAAGAAAAACTCTAAGCAAAGTCAAAACTAGGAAAACCCCTCGAGAAAAAAATCAAAACCAATAGTTCGGGGATTAAAAGCAGAAATGTAGGCTCTTGAAGAAAATCGTATTGTAAATCCTGAATCGTATTGTGTATCCTGAAATTGTAAATCCTTTCTATTTTTTCTATTTATAATCTACACCATTGAGGTACTCTAAATAATTAGAAGCTATAAAGGAAAGCAGTTTAAGATGCTAAAGAACATTAGATAGGAACAGCTGCAGCTCGGCATCCAGACTTCTCTACAGGAGACAGGACATCCCCGTGGCTGCAATTCCTTCTCAAATCATGTATTTCTTGGGTTTCTGCATTAAATCAATCACTGTCTCCTCAAAAGGCTCAGCTCTTAATCCCTTAGCCAGTGCTCAATAGTTTCCACTTTCTAGAGACAGATAAATACTATAAACCAAAATTAGAACTAAATGTATATATAAAACTCACTTGACTTTCAAAAATAAGTGAAAAACCTAAGACAACATAAGAAACTTCTAAGAGGCTGTAAAATTAAACACTGTTCTTCAGAAGTCAGAGAAAGAAAAAGCTATTTTTGTAAGGTGTGAAAAAAAGGATACAAGAAAGAAAAAGCAAAAATGTAGGGGGGATAATAAAAAATAATGTCAAAAGTAACTGCCCAACCCTTTACTAGTTATGGGGGAATGACAACAAATAATAACCAGAATAAATGTGGCTCCCTCAGTAAAGTGTAACTGGAACTCTTGTGGTGTGTGCAATTTATTTTAGCATTTAAGCATGTTCTTTTCCTTCCAACCTTAATCTTAATTAGACAGTGATCTAAAATGTTTATTAAGCAACTACAATAATCTAATGTGCTGCTTTTGCCAGATAATAAGCCTTAGTTTAATCAATGTACTTCTCTCGTATCACAGCACTCAACATGGTGCTGACTTCAGAGCGGTTATCCAATCATACCTGTGAAATACGTCTATTGGGGTTAAACACAGAACACACAGGGCTAGCACTGCACTCACCCAAAGGTCCAGTATGAATATCCATACTCATTTCACACCAGTCTAGACTCAAAGGAGCTTTAAGAGAATCTGTAAAAAATGCCCACTTTAATACCAGTCTCCACTGGGTGCCAATTAGCACCCTGTGCTGATGAATTGGCCACATACTCACCCGTCCACTGAGGAGGGCAGCGGCAGTTGTAAGTGTTTACACCATCCACACAAACCCCTCCATTCTGACACCTGTGGTTGGGGCAGTCATCAATATTCCGCTCACAGGTGCTCCCTTCAAAACCTGGTAGAGGAATAACAAAAGGACATGATGAATTCTCAAACAGAAGAGTTTCACTATCTCCCACTGGACACAGTCACCAAAACATCACTTCAGGTCAGTCCAGCAACTGCTCAGTATAGAACTCCACAGTCATATTCTCTGGCATCAAACATAGCCCAACAGTGAAAGGGACTCATTACACCAATGACATGGCTCCATAGTTACTGTACAAGTATTTCAACATGGTTCAACAAAATAAAATCCTGGGGAAGATAATTATCTACTTAGGAAAAATAAATACTGGTTCTAAAAAACATAGAATTAGACTTTCCCCAACTCCAGACTAGACTACTGGAAAGAAGAGATAGAAGATTACCCAATTAACTTTAAATTTCTTTTTGGGTAGAAGAGAGATAGCCCAGGGGTCTCCAAAATTGAGGATCGAGGAGAGCACAGTAAAAACATTGAAATATTAAATATTGATAAAGGTCAAATCCCAATCTCACAACCTACAAGCCATTTAATACACAGTAATACAAATGCTAAGTTAGCCTCCCTATTTGTAAAATAAGTCTGATTTCACTTGCCCAGTCTGCCTTTCTACATTGTTGTAAGTACATCATGACTAAAGTATTATACAAATATTAAAAGTGACCATAGAATGGGGTGTCATGATTACTAATTACTTCCCAATACTTCCAATTATTTATGTTCACTTCTAAATGAATGTTATATTTATAACATTGATTCCTATCTTCTTTCTCATTTGTGAAAAACAAAACTAAAACACCAGACTTGACCCTCAGTGCCCACAGTGTGGTTCTCTGTATTTTTTATATTTGGTTCCTTTCTTTTCCTTTTTTTTTTTTTGTATCAAATCCTTGCGCTAATAAATGGATGGCTACCAGCTTTAAGCCAAGAGAATGTTCAATGAATACTCTCCTGTTTAAAATACAGTATGACTAGGTATTTGGACTCCTCAAAAATATTCCTTAAGTTTACTGGCTCTCACTTGAAATATTTACTAGGTCTTACACCAGACATTAGGGGTAACAGTAAGCAAAAGGCAGAGTCCCCGCTTTCATAACATTTACAGCCTGATGAGTAGGACAGATAGCAATCACACCTCGCTCTACTCATTCCTTACCTCAAATCACTGTGAATTCTTACATCTGTTTGCTATACTGAAACATGGCTGTTTTCTCTGAATACAGGGTTAGTTATATAAAATGAGTTCAAAATGAATGGCCAAAGATACTCCCCAGATACGAAATACTTCATAGAAGACAGGAATATTTGAAAGCTTGATAGAAGACAACTGTATTTCTCTACTACTTATTATTCAGTCCATTCAAGCAGATGAATCACTAAGCAAACCTGAGAAAGACTAAGGAAATATATGTTCAGATTTTAAAATTTGTATGAGTAATATTGCTGTTTAATCATATGAAAATCTTACAAATGGACTAAACCAAAAAATGCTGAATTGCTTACGCCCATCTATAATTATGATTAAGTGAGACCAAAGCTACAGCTCTGACACAGAGCAGTCACTAAGTGCAATATGAGATCAGTGTTCCTAGTCTAGTGCTCTTCATGCAGATACTCCAGAAAAGAACTAGAACTTGTGCAGTCTGATGGAGATTCTACAACATGCTGGTCATCTTCTCCCTAACTTGTCTCCCTAGAAAGACTAAACATGATTGACTAAGGTGTCAGGGAAGTGATAAAGTCCTTGCAGCTAAGTTATAAAGAATAGGAACTAGGACCCTGACTTACAAATAACTGAATTCATCAACCACAGATAAATTAAGAAAGCAGAAGCACTTAAACATAACCACAAGATAAGAAATAAAATTTTATATGGCTGAATGAGTATTTTCGAGGTAATTCTTCACTGTCATCAGGTGAAGAAGGCAGACAAGCGAGAGCTAATTTGTGGTTAAAAGCATGGCCTCGGAAGCCAAACTGCTGAGGCACAACTCCCAGCCCTGGCACACAGTATCTGAGTGAACCCTGGCACAAAGTTTACACTATCTTTCTTCCTCGAAAGATGAACAGGATCTAGCTAGAAGAATTACTGAAAGATTAAGCGAGTCAGATATAAAAATCCACATATAAAAGAATAAAGTTGAACCCCCTCCTCATACATAAAAATTATCTCAAAATGTATCACAGACCTAAATGGAAGAGCTAACTTACAAAACTATTTATTAAAACAAAAAGAAAAAGATTGTATCTTTGTAACTTCTGTTAAGTAAAGCATTCTTAAATACAGTCAAAAGTAGCAAAATAAAAAAGTAGATAAACTGGATTTCATCAAATTAAAAACATTTAGGCTTCAAAGAATACCACCAAGGGAGTAAAAAGGACAATCCAAAAAATGAAAAAAAAAAAATACTGGCAAAGCATACACCTGATAAGAGATGTATATCTACAATTTAAAAAATTCTCACAGCTTATTAAAAAAATAACCCAGTCAAAGGATCTAAAGACATGGTCTCCCAAGAAGATACATAAAATGAACATTAAATACAAGAGTTTCAACTTCATGAGGCATCAGAGAAACACAAATCAAACCTGATGATACCACTTCACATCCATTAGGACTGCTAGAATAAAAAAGACACACACTGAGGTAGCTAAAATGACTACGCTACTAATTGTATTAGCTATTGGAAAAGAACAGCTAATACTCATATGATTACAACAATTTCACATGTCTACATCTGTTAATCTAAGCAACCCTTCTGAAGGTAGCAATATGCAATATTACAACCACTGTCAGATTTCTATCATCTTGTTTTGTAAACCTATACTGTTATTGTATTGGATTTATTGTTGTTTGTTTGTCCCTTTTGCTTTTTATTTTTTTCGGTGTCTGTTTTTCTCTTAAATTGAGGGAGGGAGGGAAGGAGGGAGGGAGGGAAGGAGAAGAGAAGAGAAGAGAAGAGAAAAGAAGAGAAGAGAAGAGAAGAGAAGAGAAGAGAAGAGAAGAGAAACTGGAAGCCTCAGAGCCTGCTGGCTAGAATGTAAAAAATGCTGCCACTTTAGAATACATGTAGTCTAAGTCCAGCAATTACTGTAAAGTTAAACAGATTTACTATATGACTCAGCAATTCCACCGCTAGGTATACACCAAGAAAAATAAAAACCCACATTCATACAAAACTTAAACAAGAATATTCATAAAAACATTACTTGTAATTGCCAAAATGTTAATCCCTGATGAGTAAATAAAATGTCAAATCTACACAAGTAAATATTTTCCTGTCATGAAGAGGAATAAAGCACTGTACTGATATATGCTACAACATGGATGAAGTTTAAAAACTACATTGAGTAAACGGAACCAACCTCAACGGACTACATACTGCTATTTCCATTTATAAGATGCCCAGGATAGGTAAATACAGACAGAAAGTAGATTAATAATCACCAAGAGCAGAGAAGAAATTAAGAAACAATGGGTAGCAACTGAAAATGTATACAAGGATTTCTTTTGGAGCATTCTAAAGTTGACTCAAGTGATGGCTACACATATCTGTGAATATATTAAATCACTGATTTGTATACAAGTGCAAATTATATCTCTAAGTGGTTATTTCAGGAGAAAAGCAATTAAAACATATCAGCTAATACTGTTATGTATCAATGGGATTACAGCACCCATTAGATTATCTATTCTAATCCCATTATGTTAGAGATGAAGAAGTTGAAGGTCACATAGCTGACATGCCCTCAATCACATGGCCAGTAGGCAAGAATCAGTACTGAACCAGAAGTTTTACCCAGTTTTAGTATGTTTTCTAAGACCCCAGAGTTTTCTTTCAAAACTCAAGTTTGAAAAACTGATTTTAGGTCAAAAGTACTCATGTCAGAGAAACCTCAAGCCAAACTGTTTCTCCTCCAAAGTTCAGACAGGATTTATGCTTTAAAAATAGATTAATGGAGTCCTTTTTGGAAAAAGCTAACATTCTTTAAAGAAAAAGTCTACCCAAATGCAGAAGGATGCTATAAGTTACAGTGCAGTCCCTTCTTAAGAATATTTTTTCAGTTTTGGAGGAAAGGGAAGCAGACAAGCCTGCAGACTCGTGGGTGGGATGGCTGTAGCAGAGTCACGGAAGAACTCACATGGGCCACACTAAAAGGAGTCTACTGCCCAAAGCCAAGCCACATCCTTAAAAGGCCATAAGAAGAGAAATTAAACTTAGAAGGAACATTTTAAGACTGGGCTGTTATAGATCCACAGGCCACTGTGGTGATTAATGATGGCAATGAGAATAGGGAGCAGAAAAGTCTTTTGAACTTGTCATCCCACACAGAGAGCAACACTTCTCAAGAGAGTATGCATGTCTTTCCCAGTTTCAGGCCCTAGGAGGTGTAAGGGTGGAAAGGAGTGGAGAAGAGAGGAGAAATGGAAGTGGAGATGACAGAAGCAGGATGTTCTGAGCCAGGCTGAAAGTCTTCAGGAACAGCTTCCATGAACAGAGATGAAAAAATGAGAGTATCCGGAACTGGACAAAACCAAAAAGTTACAGGGCTACTCCCCTCCCCCAAGTAAGTCAAAGCATGATTACTATAATACCCAGGAAAGCATCACATACTCCTGAGTACAAAAATGCAAAAGGATTTCATTCTAATAGTTCTTAAACCCAGGAGCAACAGAAAACGACAGATATAAAAGCCATAAAATGTGTGCAAACTTTAATATTCAGAGATGTGAGAAATAACTAGTGCAGAGGTGGCTGAAAAGGGAAAGCCTTCTTCAGTAAGAAGGGACAGATCAGATAGCATTCTGCTAAGTTTAAAACAGAAATCTAAAGAATACAGGTGTGAGGGAGAAAGGAAGAGGGAAAGTACACTGAGGACTGCCCAACCCAAATGTGAACTCACAAGGGATGGCCAGTAGATTCCAGATAGCTCTGGTTTTGTGCTATTTATTAAAATATCCACCAAAATGAGCCCAACCCATCCTCTCTTATTTATAGGTCTTAACCCAAAAATAGGGATTCAATGATTCAATAATTCACGTTCATGCTCTATTTTGCCCTTATGCAAAAATCACTGTTGGCTGAATGCCCTCCTCAGGACTTTATGATAGAAGTTCACGACAGTTCTAGATTATCAGCAGCTAATCCAAGTAGACAATGGAATGTGGTTGCCTGATTTCATTTTATTCTTTCCTGAAGGTACTTTTTTTCTCTCTCTCTTCTGCAGTTTTAATTCTTTCTCCATGAATCCTACAATACTAAAAGCAACTCAAATACTAAAATAGTGACCACAGTACCCTTGTAGAAAGTTGTAACTTAACCTTTTAAATATGATCACTAACTCTAAATGTTGAAAAGACACAGTGGACAAGAACGAATGGAGAATTCCAATTAAGTCCAAGAAGCATGGCAGCAGAAAGTAAATGAGAAAGGTAAAGCTACAGTCTCTGACCATACATAGGCAGTTAACAGAGGGCCTATCATACATACCAAGCCTGTTTTCAGGTGTTTGAGATACAGAAGTAAACAAAACAAGGATCTCAGCTTTCATTCTGGAGAAGAGCAGAGGCAGTAGAATTTGGAAAGACAATAAACAATAGGCATAGTGAAGTAAATTATATAGTACGAATTATATAGTAAGAAGTTACTTGCCACAGAAAAAGAAAACAAAACACAGACCAGGACCAGTGATTAAGAGGGATGGAGGATGGTTACAAGTTTAAATAGGGTGGTCAGGCTATGCCTCAATTTGATGTGAAGCGACCTGAAATGTGATAAGAAGCAGCCATTCTAGAGTTACAAATATCTTGACAAGCTGCTTTACCTCCTGCTGATTTGGCTTCCTGATTTTTAGATGTGAAATAATAATTCTCTTCAAATAAGGTTGTTATTCACATAGAGAGGGTGATTATTACTTTAAGTAGTGTGGAGAACAATTAAGGGAACAGCAAGAAAAAGGCACTGCATTACCTAACGGACTTTTAAAAGAAAATTTTCAGGCACTATTTCCTTATGTGGAAACCAAGTAAACACTTTAAAACTTCCCCTGGTACATAGCACAAAGAATACAAATCCTATAAACTGTGTAAATACATATTTATTCACAGTGTTGCAGCAGACTTTAGTATTCTGACCCCCCTTGGAATTACATGTGCTCAAGCTAAGGTCATTTGTTTTAGATTACTTAACTATGTTTAAATATCTTAAATTCTATAAATAGAGAGGGAAAGGAATGGAGGGGGAGACTACTTGGTTATTAATAGGACTATCTTATTTTTTTGAAAATATAAGCATATATATTTTGTAACCAAACAACATTTAACAAAAAGTCACACATCTTCAAAGTGCCTCAAAGAAGCTGAGTAGTGTAGTGAAATGCAGGAAGATTCATGAAGTTGAGGCTTCCAGGGCCCAGACTGTCCACATATCAGCTGTGCATCTTAGGGAAACTCAAATGCAACACAGAACTTCATTTACATCATCTGAGAAAACTAAAAAAAAAAAAAAAAATCAGACCTATCCTCAAGGATTTTGTGTACTAAACCTATAGTAATATGTGGCAGTACCTGGCTCATAAAAGGCATTAAAGTTTTCTATTTCCCAATCTAGCACTCCTCACCATCTCCAACACACACACACACACACACACACACACACACACACACACACACTAAATAAATACTGTCTTGCTTTACACAAGAGCATAAGAGCCAAAATCTTACTATCTCCTACTATCCCTGGCAGCCTCTTGGCTGTGGAATCCCTGGTTATTTCCTTTCTCAAAGAGAGGATACTATTCTCATTTGACAGATCCTTCCTGGATACACTCTCAGAATTCCCTGAGGTTCTTATCGTGGCTAATGGATAATAATGCAGAAACAATGAGAGTGAATAATCACTCTCTCCCAGCTAAAGACTTCCTTTATTGACTTCTCTAACTTCCCGTCAATATCTTGCTGCCAAATTAACCTCTGGTTCTAGGCAACTATTAAAAGTAACTTTCTTAAAACTGTAAATGGCATATAGCCTTCAATTATAAATCACAGTAACCTCAATTACTAGCCCCTTACACCAGTACAGCATCAGACCACTAGGATGTTAGTGATACTAAAATATTTACAAAATTAGACTGTTCATAGTCTATTTCTGTCTTCAACCCTAAAAGCAAATAAACTCAAGAAGAAAAAGGTATCTTTTAGTTATTCCTTCTGCAAAGTAATGCACATAATAGTAGTATTATGTTAATAAACATTTAGCACCCTGATTAATAGCATTATCTATTCTTTATTGAAAGTGAAACTAAAAGCAATATAATTAGTAGCATGTTCCTGTGGTATAGTTAAATGATAGTTTTTATTTAGATTATTAACAGTGTGTTCCACTGTTATACCACAATCACATAACACAGTATCTAGAACATGACAGTTCATACACTTTTACAAAATAAAGTGAATAAATTATCAATTGTTTATTTTTACTAAGGACCAACCTATAACCTTTAATCTCCAGAAGATAAACACAAACCTGTTATATGTGAATCCCATCTATAACAGCAGAATGTAAAATTCCCATTCCAAAAGAGTGGCTAGAACAACCTCTCTGTAAGGTAATTATGTCTATTTGGCATATTATCTACACACACACACACACACACACACACACACACACACACACACACACAGTTTTCCTTCTTTTGTTTCTGTACTAAGGATATTTGTATAAAAACAAGATTCTTGTTGCTTAGTAATTCATTTGCTCCAGCTGTTTGTGCTCTGTTCCCAATCAAAGTTCTTGGTTTTCAGCCTCCCCCTCATTTTTATAGGGAGTGAAGTGAACTGGCAAGTCTTGCTCCTCCCCACCACGAAAAACCAGGCACTGAGGTCCCAGCCACCGCCCTCTGCCTACAGCTATCCTAGGTTTCGGGTGTACTCCGGGGAACAGCCAAGACCATGACAAAGCACTGTGTCATGCTTAGTCTCACACACTTTGTCTACCAAGGGTCAGCAAAAAGTGCCACTAACAGTGGACTCCTTCCTTTCCAGTTTCCAAACTCTCCTGCTCCTATTCAGGGAAGTGTTACCCCAAAGTCACCAAAGATACATGGGAGAGGATTCTAAAGGCCAGTACCCCAGGGGAAAAAAATCACAAAAGGGTCAATAAGAGTTGGGCATGGTGGTGAGCACCTGTAATCGCAGTTCTGAGGCTGACTCAGGAAGATCATGAGTTTGAAGCCAGCTTGGGCTACACAGTAAGCTTACAGGCCAACCTGAACTACACAGTGAAATCCTGTCTCAAAAAAAAAAAAAAAGATGGATGGATTCATTTAAATATTTAAGTGGATAGGAAAACAATGAGTTAATCCCTCAGAGGCAAAAGCATATGGAAAAGCTGAATGACTGCTTAGAGTCAATTAGCTTAAAGCACTTTATTAATCATACATATATATTGACCAATGTCTAATTCTCACACTGTTCTTCTCCATTCCAGATTTCCCTGTCCCTTTCCCAGAGCTTTATCTCTCTGATTTCTCTCTGTTTCTCCAAAAGGAACAATAAACAATTTCCTAGCCACTCATCATCATAAACCTTGACATGTTAAATAACCTCCTGCTCAGATAATGAAGCTCAGTGGACCCATAAAACTCCTCCCTTACCAGCAACCCACCCTATGCACAATCCTTACTCCCCTTTTCCCCTTTTTAGTGTACTTCCTAAAGGACCAACTGAGCTATACTCACTACCATCCACCCTTCTCCCGTGACTGGCTTGTCCCCAATCCCAGGATACTAGAGAACTCCTTACCTGGAAGGCAGCTACACTCGAAAGTAAAGTCACCCGTCTGCCGGCAAGTGCCTCCATTGACACAGGGGGAGGGCGCACAGGGCACATAGGGGTTGTCACAGTGCTGGCCTGTGAAGCCCTGGGAGCACTGGCACTGGTAGGAACCAGGCAGGTTGAGGCAGGTGCCACCATTCTGACACTGTCCCGGAATGTCACACTCATTGACATCAGTCTCACACTTCTGCCCTGTGAAGCCGGCGAGACATTTGCAGGAAAACTGGTTGGCCACAGTGGTACAGGTACTTCCATTTGCACATGGTTGAGACAGGCAGGCATCAATCCACTGGCACAGCTTCCCTACAGGAAGGACAACAGAACTCAGAAATGGAAGATAGCCTCACCCTCCACACCCCCCTCTTCGACTCACGGGGTGGCACCAGGAGCTCTCAAGTGGAGAGTCCTATGTTTCTTAATTTTACAGAAGGACAAAGCAAAACCTCTACAAGATTGTGTAACACAGGGCACTTTCCAGAAGAAAATTCTCCAAGGTCCGTAGATTAGACTCAAAGATTCAGTGAATAGATAATAGAAGAATAAGCAAGCCACTCATAGGAAACCCGGTGAAGGATCCTGGCAGTCCCTAGGCACAGAGCCGAAGTCCACCTGCCGTGTGACACCTCCTTGTCTTTGCTCATGCTGGTCTTGCATCTGAAACTCCATCTTCCTTTTTGTTCACCTTCTGAACTCTCCCTTCTCTCGACAACTCTACTCAGAAGTCACCACTCCTATGAAGCCATCCTTAATACCTCCCAACACACACCCACCAAAAGTACTCTCTCTTTCTGCTACTCAACAGGCACTGCCCCATGGTATATTCACACCACATCTGTTAAAGGAATGAAATGTACTGATAAATTCTACAGTATATAGTTACTGACTAGACTTCTTAGGGGACAGAAACAAGGCAACACTATTTCTATTTCTTTAAACATAACCCACACTACTGTGGGCAACTTTGGTAATTAGAATCTTGCTACAAATACAACTTCATGCATTTGGAGATGGTGATGGATCTCTGATGCCCTGTATGTGAAAAGAAACAAAAGATGTCATGAGGGCAGGGATCCCAAAAGATAACTTGTGGGCTTCACTAAGCAGAAAAGCACCAGCAGTAGCAGGATGACTGCAATGCTGAATCCTAAGCTATAAATCTATGGGAAAAAGAACAGATTCTCTGACACTGAGAAAGAGCAAAATGCCCTTGTTGCTAGTAAATTTGATACGGTATGTCTTTCTGTTTTCATTATCTAAATCTTTATTTTTTTAAACTAGAGATAAGAACTCTTTGAGATTGTTAATTTCCAACTGTTCATCCAAATCTTTGAGCCCCTGAGAAAAGCAACTGAGAGAGGTGATTGCTTTGAGACAGAAAGCAATGCTGTTTGTCAAGAAATGTCAAATCAAAAGGAAATGGTAAAAAAAAACCTGGGCACAGCACATAAACCCCAGTGCTGAGCAGGGAGAAAATGAAGGAATTACCATTTTTGTTTCCATTTGTTCCGTTATGCCACTGAGAGGTAGTTACTGTGGAAAAGAGATACAAATGCTTCCTTATGACAACCCTGGCCTATGACAGTGCTCACCCACAAATGAAGCAGAATGGTTCCTGAGCTTGGTTTCCATACAAACTATGTACAGACACTAACTCAATGCCCCTGCCATATCTAAGACAGGAGATGACCTAACAGGTTTGACTGTGCAAGATAAAGAGCTCTCACCTCTGAAGAACCACAAACCTATTCAAAAGAGACATATAAAAAATTACAATAAACTGTGACATGAAAATAGTAAAACCTGGCTACCAGCTACCACAAGGAATCACAAAACAGACAGTTTTATAAAAAAAAAAAAAAAGTGCCTCCCTGGCAAGCACGAGGTCATAAGTTCGATCTCCAGTAACAAAAAAAAAAAAAAAAAGAAAGAAAAGAAAAGAAAAATATGGAGTAATCATCAATTACAGGGGGAAAAAAAAACCTTCTAGGCAAGTGTGCGGACAACTACATGTAACCAACAGCAAGAATGACATTTTAAGGAAATGATGAGAATGTCAGTGTGATCAGTGTGGGAAGGGAGGTCACAGAGATACCATGGTCTGCACTCTGATGGGCCATGGAAGCCAGATAGAAGAGTTCACAGTTTATTCTGTGGATGAGGAAATGTCATGAAACACTGTAAACAAGTGTGTTTGTTACAACATTTGCATTTATAACTAAGGATGTTAACAATATTACAGGTGGATGAGACAGAGAAACAAAAATAATAAGAAACTAAGAAATTAATTCAGGAGTCCAGTGAAGAGGTCCCATGGCCCTCAGCTATACAGCTAGCAGAGAAAACGGAGAGGAGTAGACACGTTGCATGCAATTTAAAGACAGGATTGATAACTGACTTGGAAAGGGGTAAGACCAGGGAAGAGGAGCTTGTGCTCTGGGGGTATGAACTGCACACTTGTGTCCCCCACTTATATCAACATGTTATAGATGAGATGCTTATAGAAGCTTGAAGGACAATGTTTAGCAGGCAGTCAGAAGAATGAGCCTGGTGTCTGGCGTGGATTCATCTGCATGAGCGTGAGAGGGATTGGCAACTGGTAGAGATAATCAAGCAACTGATGACAGTGAGATTTCCCCAGGGAGAACTAACACTACTCAAAACTGTTCCAGGGAACACAAACACCGAATGGATAAAGACAAGGCAATGCAGAGTAAAAGAGGAACGATCAAGAGTTCAGAAAACCAGCAAAGTCAATGTGCCCTGAGTATCTCAAGAAGATTTTCAAAGAAGTGAAAAATCAACAGCATCAATAGCATTTCTCCTAGTGACAGTGTATTTCCCTTAGTGAATTAATTCTGACCTGCAATCCTGAGGTCATACACATGTAGTATATACTTAAGTTTTTTAAGTATAGTCAAGTATTTTACTGGAATTTTTTTTTGTCCTCCTTCCCAGTCTCTTAAAACTCTTAAAAGAAGCTTGGAGATAATTGTCCAGAGTATTCCCATTTCTTATCATAATGTTAAACATGCAACAGAGTTGGAGGACCCTTTCAAACCGAACTCTGAAATGCAAAGATTCAAAATAAAGATACCTGCTGAGAGGGAAAAGTATAGGTATGAGTCCCCTTTGTTACCTGTAAACCCTACTTGGCAGGTACACTCATAGGTATCCCAGCTGAGCATGTGGCAGGTGCCTCCATTCTGGCAGGGAGGATTCACAAAGCAGGGATGAGAGGTTGAGTACTGGCAGTCCTCCCCTGTGAACCCCAGAGCACACCGGCAGGTAGCTCTCCCCAACATGGCCTGGGCCACACAGGTCCCACCATTCTGGCAACGATTCTTCTCACAGGGATCTCGATGTTGACAATATTCTCCCAAGAAGCCTTCTGGACATCTGTATGGAAAAATAGAGGAGTCCATTAAAACTCTTTTTTGTAAGGCCAATACCTTATAGGAAAACAATGCAGTATATTCAGAACACAGTAAGCTATGAATCAAGAACTTTAAGGTATGATCTGTAAGACCCCCTTACAACTGAAAAATGAGTACTTAGAAAACTTAACCACTTATTTTTGAGTCTTTCTGAGTCTTGCTAAGTGAACTATTCTGCAAGGTCAGCAATTCTAGTTAGCACGACCCTTACTCAAAGGCAAAGTACACATAGCTTGTTCTCATAGGTATAATGGAATGGTATAACAGCACCCTTTTGGAAAGCAATGTTTATGCTCTGCTTAAATTCATTAGCTTTCTCATTCTGACTAAAGCATGTGATGGGATTAAGGTGTTTACATGACCATGCATGGACTTGGCCAACCCTCTTATCTCTCCAATTTAAAATATATAAAACATTATGTGCTATTTCTCAAGTAAGTATCAAGAAATAGTAAGTTCTTCTTTCTCTTGTTTCCACTGAAACACTGGTTTGGCTATTCACAGTTTTTTGGGCTACAACCAGATGGTTGACCCTGTAACAGAAAGGGGAAGGAGGTAAAGGAACAGGAAAAAGTCCAAGGAACATACTAGTATATTTGTTAATATATATGTGGCAGTTTTTTAAGCAAATGCAAAGGCACAAAATGTAATTAAAATAACATAAAATATCAAAGGTACTATAATAACACCAAAGTGAAGAAGGGAAATAGTTCAAGAATAACATCCTATAATATGTTCCACATTGAGGCACTGAAGAAATTTTTTATAATTCAAAAGAAGCACAACCTTCCCAAATTATGGGTAATATTTAGAACAATTTTCTATAAACAGCTTCAAAATTGCTTGAGAAGTCTCTATTCTCACAGTGAAGCTGCTTAAACTGCAATCCTAAGAAGTATTTAAAAGGAACACAAAGACTTTGCTTCTAACTATAAATTTTGCTACTTCATTGGAGTCCCAGATTCTTGGTTCATCCTATTTCACCATTTTACTTTTTGTTGGATAGAAGACTGGATCTACAATGCTGTTCCACCATTACCTCAACAACATCACATTTAAAACAAACTAAATCTGCTCCCTCCAAACTAGCTCCTAATCTCTCAGACCTGAAGCACTGGGGTCAAATTGGATTCTTTCCTTTCTTTGCCAATCACAATCAAGATATTTCATTAGTTGTTGATTGATCAGGTGAGGTCTTCAAGGATCAAATTTATAGAGAAAAGAAGGAAAGCTAGTTACCAGCAGACCAAGACAAGAACATGCTAGAAGAATCACACAGGAGATTAAAATGGCTAAGGGAAAAAACAGAGTTGGACCAGCCACAGCCTCCCCCTCCCTTCCCAGTGCCAGCACCCTGAAGCAGCAAGGTCTCTAGACATCATGATGAATAAACAGACCATGCAAGAGAGGAAGAGACAATGAACAGAGTTTATAGCACTCAACTGGCTGAAGCTGACAGTGAGAAAGAAGTCTACGCCTCTGAAGCTCAGAGGTCTGGTCAGGAACCCTGGTACTACATCTTGGGCAATTACTTAACTACCACTGACTGTCAGTTCTTTCACACTTTAAACAGTTACAGAGGCTAGCCACATGATAGGACTACTGTGCTTGAACAAAATCAAGCACATAAAAAACCTTGTGAGTAATAAAAACTTGCAAATGGAAATATTTTTCTCTTTGTGCTTACTGAGGAAAACATATCTAAATCACACTTTGATTTAATAATTGATTTTTTTCTGTTTGAGTTTTTTTAATTTTTGCTCTTATTTTTGCTTTTTTTTGTCTTAGAGGAGCAAAGAATATCAAAATGGCACAGCTAAAATTAACCCTGTTACATTATTAAAAGCACCTGCAGTTTTTTCAGGAAATATGTTATGGATGACGTTACAAATTGAAACACAATTCTCATTCACAATGACAATCCTCTGGGCATTGGGCCTGGCTGTTGATTCTTGATTCCCCCATATGGGAATTATTCATGCTGTAAATAATGCCAACGTTCTAAACTTGGGTGGGCGCTAACCAGCTTTGCTACACCACTCCCAACACATCGTGTGGCATCTGCTAAAAGAATGCAAACTCATTTAAACATTAACATCACAAACGCAAAGTTCCCAGGACAACACAATTGGAACAACACTGAAGTTTCTGGAACTAAACAGAAGAATTTCTGAATTACCTGTTTTGAAAGCTTAATACACATTGCTACTCCCTACCAAGTATGGAAAAACAACTTTCAACTAAGATATATTTAAGAAATCAATAAAAGTAGAGACTACAGCATTTAGGAGGCGAAAGCAGGAGGACTGTTGTGAGTTTAAGACCAGCCTGGGCTGCAAAGTGAGCTCAGGGCCAGCCTGAATTACATAGCAAGATCCTGTCCCAAAAAGCGGGGGATGGGGACTGACCAACTATACATTACCAGTCTAATTTGGCCCACTGCCCATTTTCTTAGCCCATTTTCTTGGTTTATCAAACCAAGAATGATTTCTACATTATTAAATGGTTGAAGAAAAAATAAAAAGAATAATACTTTGTGGCATTTGGAAATTATGTAAAACTCAAATTTCAGCGTCCATAAATAGTCCTACTGGAACGCAGCCATGCTCGTCCGTTTACAAATGATCCGTGGCTGTTTTTGCACTACAACAGCAGAGTGGAGTAACTGCAGTGAGACCACATGGCTCGCAAAAATATTTACCTTCTGGCAAAAAATGAAAAAAGTCTGCCAGCCCGAGCAGAGAATATATGGAATCTATTAATTATGTTCATTATGCTTATTAACAATGATGGTAGTGATGATGATGATGGTTTCCGCAAAGTAGATTAAACTCGTAATATTCATTCATTCTTGCAACAAACTTAGTAAATGGCTCCTACTTGCCAGCCGGCTAACAGCTATCTGTATACATAGGTTCCACACCCACTGAATCAAGCAACCAGATCAAAAATGATCAGAAAACAAAAAGAGTCTGTACTGAATATGTTCAGGTCTTCGGTTACTATTCCCTAACAATGTAACAACTCTGTGCATAGTATTTAAGCTGTATTTAGGCATTACAAGTAACCTAGAGATTGTATGTGTATACAACTTGAGCACCCACAGATTTTGGTTATCTGCGGAGGGTCCTGGAACCAATTCCCCACAGGAACTGAGGAACAACTACACTGTGAAAACCCTTGCACTAACGGAGTTTACATTCCAGTAGGAGTACACAAAGACAAAATACGTTAGAGGGAAGAAATGTTATAAAGAAAAAGAGACAAGGTTGGGGATAAGGCACTGGGAAGAGATAAGGATTTCAGTTATAAATAGAAAATCAAAGAAGGCATCACTGAGAAAGCAACACTTGAGACAAGATTTGAGTAAAGTGGAGGATTCACCATGTAGGTAGGGAAATGCGTTCCAGGAAGAAGGAACACTAAATGTACAGGCCCCAAGACAGAGCAGTCCTGCCAAATTCAAGCATGGCAAGGAAACCCAGGGACCTAGCTCTATTACTATGCCAAAGAATAAAAGAGCCACAGAAAATAGTGAGACACTAACTGATGTGGATCATGTGGGGCCTATTTAGGCCATTCTACAAAAGATTTAGGGCTTTATTCTACATGAGACAATACTGACATACGATGGTATAACAGACACACTTATCTAAAGCCACCTACAGCATTACATCTTCTATTCCTGCAAAACTAGACCTGTTGAAATAAAGGCTTGATTTTCTATTTAAAATGCTCTAGAAAGCTATCAGCTGATTTTTTACTTTTATCTTTAAACATCTCTTTTAATTTACCTTTTTCACTGAGTCCCACTTCCCTTTCCAAATCTTTTTCATTTACAAACAAGCTTCTGTGACTACTTTTACAGGTGTTTTCTCCTTCCTCTCCATCTACTTCTTACTTGACTCCCATGGCATGACTTTCACTTCATTGCCTAGAAATTACACTCTAAGAACAGGACTTTCCCCCTGTCATATTCAGTATTCTCATCTGAGATTTCACCATCAGGAAATTCCCTCTCCTACAGGAGGTACTGCTGACACTCCGTGAGTCATCTCCATCTTCCTTCCCCTGACTTCTGTGACTCTGTTTATCTCCACGCCTGGTAGAGTCTTGGTCTACATTACTGACTCCTCTTCTTTCCCACTAGTTGAAGTCACCTTGCAGTGTAAGTCTGGACCGCACTGCACTTCTCTCCTATCCATTTGGTGTTACTGCTGTAGGTATCTGCTTGATTTTAAACACCACCCTAAATGTAACAGACACAAAATACACTGTTTTGGCTCCATATGTTTAGTTTTCTAGAAGCCATCTATCAAACTTAGTATGTTCTGCCAATACTTGAAACTAAACATTTGGAAAGAGATCATTTTCCCATGAAACTTTAATTCCTCCAATTTTCTAAAGATTCTACTCACAATTTAAAGCTACTTTTAGTTAATCCCTTTAAGTTATATATAATTTATTACTGTGTTCTGACAAGTTTTGTTAACTGAATTCCTACAGTACCATTCATGTACACAATTTCTTTTCTTATTAGTACACGTCTGTATTTACATTCCTTGCATGGGGTTGATACACACATCCTAATTCTTTGTCATCCCCTTCTCCTCCTGTACTTGCCCCTCCCCTACCTCTTGATCCCCCCTTCCCATTTGAGAAGAAGCTATCTATCTATTTATTTTGCTCCTCTTGGGTTTCTTACATAAGAGAAACCATGTTATATTTAAGCTCATTTGTACAATTTATTTCACTTAATATTATGGTCTCAAGGTGTATCCATTTGCCCACAAATGACTTAAGTTTACCCTTCTTTCAGCAAAGTAGTATACCACTGTCTGTAAATATTCCATTTTCTTTATGCATTCATCTGTTGATGGACACACAGGACACTTTCAAGATTTAGCTGTTATGAACTGTGCTACAATAAACATGTATGTACATATCACTGTAATATAAGAA